ATAATACCCCTCGGGGGGGGGATGGGGGAGGGGGGGGAAAACACTTGTCGTGCAAAGCTGAGATCCCCGCAACTTAGATAAGTACTGACTATGGTACGGTGGTATTCCAGTTATCTGAGAGCGCTGAGTTGTGGGGCAATCATAACCCAGGCGGGTCTGGAACTCGAATTGTTGGTTTCAGTTTTGTACAGGGACCCACTTAAATGCCCACCCTCCCCCCAAGCGCTTTTTTTGGACATAATCGTAAACAGCAATACCAACCGGTCCCGAGTAGTATAGGTGGAAGTATCGCTAGTCCCACCTCCACACAAGGGTCGGCCCGTCAACCCAGAAATCCCTTTGCTGGGCGAAAAATCCCATTCTTGCACCCACATTAATTTCGTTGCATCTTCCAGGACACTGAAAAATGGCTTAGAAACGGACATTTCGCAGCTGCAAGAATCGCCTTGCGTAAAATCAAATCTACCGTTATCCGCAAAAATTGATGCACCAAAACGTCCCGCACTGCCGTGGTAGCACCCAGTTTTCTAACGACTAACGATGGCATACTAAGTAAAATGGAAGCAGAAGATCCGTCGAGGACACGGGCACAATGAGCACTAGGGAGCATACAGTCGCGCAAACAACGAGGGCAGATACCTAATCATGGGTGGGGCCAGATCAAAGAAGGTGTGGTCATGCACAAGACACAAGCCCCTAGCGTCCTTGTCCACGTTCATGAGTGAGAAAAGGGCATAGCTTGTGTGCTTGCAAATATGTTCATCGTATATGAGAAAGGGATTGCCCTACGATGTTACCTGAGGGAGTTCCTCTGGAAAAAAATTTCTCCGAAAGTTTCTTTGAAAAAAAGTCAAAGAAGTAGACTATCTATTGAGAAACAGTATAGTAGGTGGGGTCCAATTGTGGTCCTCTTCTTGGAAAAACGCTCACGATTTAACAATTATTCGACATTGAGGTTAATTAATCACTCTGTGGGCACTCTAGTGCGCACTAAGTCCTCTTCTGAAAACTACAGCTGAACTTGAAAATTTCTTAGAAACTTTATGCGTTACTGCTGTGCCAGAGATGATTAATAATTGAATGGTTCCCATCAATTAAGCTTCATGGCTGTTACGTCAAAGTTATACCCTCGCATCTGTTTATGAGAGTTCACCTGACCCATCTGGAACGCGCACGCTTGCATCTTAACGTCACCCACCCACGAACAGTGGGCATGGATTGGAATGTCCATTTGTCCGACACATAGACGATGAGCCTCACAAGTCCATCTAGTGGCGCTGTCCGAGTTGACATGACATTGTTGGCGATAGCGCTTTTTGACGACACGCTTTGTCTAACGCTCATTTCTCCGGGGACAAAAACCCACTAGAATGGGAAGCAACACAAACGTATTGTTTATGAGCAAAGTCGTGCTAACCATAAATCTATAGGCTTAGCCTTGTCATAGAAAATGAGCCCCCATCTTTTCAGTACCGTAAATGGCTTGGCACGTTCAAAGTCGCTACGAAAGGACCTTTCACATCCGATCAGCAGTCAGGGACGAGAGATCATTCTACAGTGCTTCGAAAATCCTCATTCCGAATTTGGTAACAAGGTTTGTGCTTTCGATTGTCCTTCCTTATCAAGTAATGGCGATCAGAGCTAGGCAGCGCGCCTATGGGTTTTATAGTGCTAGACAGTTGAGGAATGATGCTGAGGTAAAAGAGCAGCACCCAATCTCATTATCCATACTGACTTTCTTGAACCTTGAACATTCGTAAACGCGCTCGTGTCATCATAACCTGCGACCTCCAGCTCAAACTTCGCTAGACAGCATATCTGTCATGAGCTTGATGGGTGTTTTCTCATGAGCGCTAGTGCCAGCTGCCATTCGGTCTTTGGCAGAAACGAGGTAAGCTTCAACCGAAGCTGCCTTCATCACCACAGCCCGCAAAACAGCTGGAGCGCTTATCAGAGAGAAGAATCGAAGAGATTCAAATGCTTTTTATTCCAGGGTTATCCCTGCAATTGATGGCAATAGGCACGATGATTTGGTACTTGCTCAAAAATACTACCAGGGTGATAGACAGTGAGAAAATGACGAAAAAACGAAGTTGTAACGAAGAAAAACCTGCGAAAAACCTTTGTTCTGCACGGCACTGGACGAGCATTTTCGGACGAGTTTCCGTTGGCATCGTGTAAACAACCGCTTTGAAAGGACGATTGCACGAATATATTCATATATCCGTGTAACAACGCACATCAATTGTAATTCATAAATGAAGCGATAGAGTACCAGCGTCGATGTGACTGTAGGACATTTGTGGGCGGAGGGTGGGTGGGCGTGTGGATCGGCATGTTGCACCTTGGTTAGGCGCTGTAACGCTGCCTTCGTTGAAAAAGGCGCCACGCATCGCTTCCTAGGGGCCACAATACTCTTTCGTGCTAGGCGTATGGACCTGTACGCCTTGTCAATTTATCGTGCCACAAGCTGCTTTTAAGATAGTAATACTAGTAGTAGATCAGCATGAGGTTTTGCTGTTTTTGCAGGTTTTGCAACGGATTTTCGAGAAACGAATTGACTATCAGAAGTATGTTTATACGTTGGGCAGGGAACGAGCCTATCAAATGAGCATTCGACTTAAGGATCTCGTTGAAGAGGTCGTATCGAAGGTTTGTTTACTTGTTTACTCATCATAACAAACCTCTTCAAGACCATCAAAGCTAATGCTTCCGAAAAAACGAGGGTTTGTTTTCCTTCGCAATAGCTCGTTAGGACATATTCATTTTTGCACAACCCCGCAGCATAATTATAGAGCATTCGGCATTGATCGATCCCCCTGTTGGGATGCGCCATGCATGTCAATTCTATTCAGAAGCGCAGTGGCCTGGGATTCAACAATAACTTGCAGTGTCCAGTCGATGCACAAATCGCTGTTTTTACCCTTCTTACACAGCCGATTATCAATTGCCCCAATTAACCTCAATTAGTTGATTAATCAGACTTCATTTCTAGAGAGTCACTTCACCTCTTGTTCCCAGAGGCATCGAGGGGTTGGTTAATCGGGTAGCGATTGACCAACCCCTTGATGCCGTGGAGCGATATCCGGATTCAGAGTCACATTTTGCCGGATAGGGACTATTTGGTCCCAAGCAAATTTTTTTATAATTGCTTCATCCCATTTCACGCGTGCTATATAGTACCCGCTGATTGACAGTTCCGCAATTACAACTGAAAACCTCGCAATCAGTCGGAGCGGTACTATAAGGCATTTAATGAGTCAGTTATCATTTTTGATTGGGCATTATTTAAGGAATCTAGGGTACATCATCGTTGTCCGGAACCGGGCGGTCATGTCTGACCTCAAAAGAATTACATGTCTATTTTTCCCGTTTCATGCGCGCCAGATGCCTGTTAGTTCTGAGAGGGAGTCGAAAGGCCTTAGGAGAAAATTAGGGATCTTGCACCACAATTTCACCAGTCGCTATGTCTGCCCCAAATACTATTCGAGATTTGATAGGTAGCATGGCTTCCTTGTACAAGGTAACCCAGTGGGCGATCACAAGTGTTGCACCGTTTTCTCGGCTGAAAAATGAGTAACAGAGGAGCTGGAGCCGTCACTCGTCGTAGTAGCTCCACCCACTAGTTAGCGACACACCCATGGGAAAACGCCCTTGCAACCATATTGGAGCAGACCCGCCGAGTCTCGTCTGTGCGGGGTCGCGTCCGTCGTTGTCTTACTGTCCCATCACAAATAGCCTTTGATGACTCGCCCGCGCTCGCAGCGTTCTTCTCGTTTCTTGTAAAACGATGGAAATACTGGAGCAGAGCGTTTTCGATAGGTTGTCCGGAGCGTTTTCGATATCTGGTTTATCTGTTTTCCGGGTCGTTATTACGAAGGAAAACTCGATAAATGCCCATTAAAACTGTGTTTCAGCACGTTCGCTCTCAAAAATCGAGCGTCAGGAAAAGGGTCCTCTTGTGTGATTTTCAGGCAGTTTTTTGCTTCCTTCGTTACAGGAAAACTAATCAGCGCTCACAATTTCATTTTCGGGCCTTAATTCGCAAAGTGGATTTGTAGTGGGATTTTCCGTTGAGTTTCCGAATATTTGAACAGCAAATCAAGTTGTATAATATTATCCACTACCGTTCTTTCAGTGCAACTATGATACAAAGGAAATTTTCGGAAGATTCTGAGGGACTTTTGAGTAAAATTGGTCCTCGAACCTGCGTAATTTCTGAGGTTCGCAGAGCTACTGTCCTCTTTCCAGACACAGCCACAGAAGAGCCTGAGGGAAAAGAAGGCGTTATATAGTGATAGTGATATTCTATATAGTAGAATATATTAGTGATATTCTATATAGTAGGATATATTTCTAGTGATATTCTATATAGTAGAATATATTGTGTTATCGATAAATTCACATCAAAAATGCACTACCGAGTTTATGCTACGAGTAGCGAGCTTTTACTCGATTCAAGTTAACTTGTTAAGATTTTCGACCCTGACCATATTTGCTCAATATCGAGGACTTATGGCGAGGAGCATGTGGAATTGAAGGCGTATGGTTTCAAGCCGGACTTTTGGGTGACCATCGCCGATGCGATCACCGTCGAGGGTGTCATACTGGATATGGCAAATCATCAGGTTCGTTCCTATAGAGCACTCTTCTGGTAACTTCTGGAGAACTAGTAGTTCTGTCAGTTCACCCTCTAAGGATCTTCGGCGAGATCAGAAACGCGAAAGCAATAGCCCTTAGGGTGCGGTCATACTTTGCGGCAGCGTACGCTAGCGTTTCCAGCGTTCGGCAGCGGCAGTGACAAGGAAAGGATAGATATCGATCTAGCGTTTGCCAGCGTCACCAGCGTGCGCTAGCGTAACGCTAGCACACGCAGCGTAGCGAGGGCAAGGAAAGTATAGGTATCGATCTAGCGTTTGCCAGCGGCGGGGCTAGAGAGTATGGGAGAGTAGGAGAGTGACGAACGGCTCAATTAGGCGTCGTGGAGTTGAGGTGTGTCAAGCGCATACTACTGCACTACTAGATAATACCGTACGCTAAATTGGTTAAATTGCATAATGCAATGTTTGAACTGCATAATGCATTATTGTAAAGGATAAAACAACATGGGATCATAGTAGGATCTTTCATACGGATGAGCATGTATGTTTGGCCGTACCTTAGTCCAGAAAACGGCCATGAATTGCTAAAAATTTCTAAACGGGACCATTTGCAACAGATCACCTCTGAGGAAGGATATAGTACCTGCAAAAGACGAGAGTTTCCGTAGTTCGGTTCAATTTTGGTGCGACAATGTAATAAACATTCCGTTCCAACAGCCAAAACACAGAATTGTTCAATTTAACTATTTTAGTGTAGGGTACTGCCCACCAATGCGGTGCCGTTGCACAAGCCGCAATGCCACGACGCCTAATTGAGCCGTTCGTCACTCTCCTACTCTCCCATACTCTC